GCGCCGCCACGGAGAGGGGTGGGTGGCCCCGCCGTGGGCAGGCTCCATCCCACGGCTTGCCCGGCACGCGTTGGGTATGTGTGTGGGGGGGTGTCCCTCCGTAGTTCGTCCTTATTTTTTTAAGGAAGCGTTAGATTTGAGCTTCACCGACGGGTTTAGAGACTGTTGCGCGTATGGCCTGCTTGAGAATCTCTTAGTGGCCTTGCCACTGAGCAGGAAAAGAACCGACAAAGTTACTAGCAGCGGACGCGGTGCCGGTGCCTGCAAGCGCGTCCTGCCAAGTGCTGCCACCTGTAGCTGTAACGCTGAGTGGGGATGCCGCGCTCTGCAGTCCTTAGAACTTCCCGGTGCTTTCTCTCTGAGAAGTACATCTCTTCTTAATTGCATGTTTTCCTAGCACTTCCACCCGTGGGAGTTTCCAAAGCATGTTCATCGTGTGTAAGAACTGCTGATGTCAAGGAAGCATGTACGCAGTGTGACCAGTTCATCTGCCAGAACTGCATCAGGCTCTGCAGCTGCTGTAACGCAGTTACCTGTTCTTTGTGCTCCACTATTGAGTAAGTGCCTTTTGAATTTTTAAGCTTGTTTTAATTATATATGCCTTGAAAATTGGCTGCAGCATATGAAGACTCAGCAAGATACCTTCCAAGTCCATCCACATGATGGACTTGGAACTCTTCTCTTGTTGCTTTAGCAGCAGTAAAACTGTCTGAAACATGGAGAATAAAATGCCTGTGTGAAGTAGTCTAATCAGTCTTAGTGCAAGTCTAGTTTAGCTTCTCATTTAAATGTTCTAGGAGGCAAAAAATCCTCTTGCTTTCCTGCCAGCAATATAGTATGCTGGGCAGTGATGAATGAATATGCTCCCAAGGAGTAATCTTAAGTTTTTGCCATCGTTGTTAACAGTTCCATGATATAAAGAAATGTTGAGTGTGCTGTGTTGGGAGTCCCATGGTTACAGTTGATAATGGAATAGGATGGCATTCTTTTTTTATGTTCCAGAAACAGTAGACACACTGACTTTGTTTCTTTTGGTTTTCTTTCTTTATTCCTAGTTATGCTGATGTGGGAGAGCAAGTCCTCTGCAATGGTTGTTCAATATTTCAAGTCTGAAACTCGATGAAATAGCTTTTATGCTAAGACGTCTGTAAATTTCATGAAGTCTCCTCCTTATGCCTAGTCAATTAATCCTTTTAGCATGGGAATGAATTATGGAATTTCTATGTTTTATATCTTTATATTGTACTTTTTAATACTGTAGCTAAATAAACTTTTATATTTTAAGGATTTCTAGATTTTGAGTCGACTTTCTGCTTTTCCCTAGTTGTGATACGCCTGTCTGGAAGGGGCCACTTTGTGCTCTTACCTGGTGTTCCTTATGTGATATAGAATTCAGAGTATTCATTCAGTGTTTCTCCACTTGTTGCTCACGTTAGGACACACTTTTGTAGGATCAGAATAGAAATCAGTTGCTCCTTGTGTGCTTTCAGGTGAGTGTAAATCTATTCTGGACGCACAACATTTTCTTCATGAGCTAACTAGAAAAAATTAGCCAGGCCTGAAGGCTTTTCCAAGTAGAGAATGTGCTGATTTCTGGTTAGCTTTTTTCTTTTTTTTTTTTAAACTGTCACAAACATCTTATGATTACTGACAGCTTGAGTGGTTTTAATTGTTCTTTCCATGGTAGCTTTGATAGAAAGAACAATGGTACACCAGGCTTGGAGCAAAAAAGCTTTTCTCAATAGTTCAGTGTCAAAGACTAATTTTCCTGTACCATCCTTGCAAGGTCTTTCTTGGAAAGCAGCTTTTTTGTGGAAGATGATCATGTACACTGTAAACTTCGTGTTGTCCTGAATACCCATGCAAAAATAGCTCATGAAGTGGTCTGAAAAATGGTCAGTGCTCAAGTGTGCATCTCCAAAAACTAGTTCTTTCCTTATTTTCCTTTCGTATCACTGCAGAGACCAGTTTGCCTAGTACTGTTTGTGCTGGAGGAGCGAGGCTGTCATTAAGTACTGCTGGAAAGCTCCTCAACATAGCAAAAATAATAAAAGAAAATTACTTTTTTAAAAACACCGGACTTCTTGTCTTGCAAACCAACCAAAGACAAAACTACAGTGGTGGTTACTTCAGGAAAATGATGACTTAAGTGGCTGATTTCAGACTGTAGGAAAAAAGAAACAGATTTGAGAGAAAAAAGAAATTCTCATGGCACTCCTAGCTAGTACTCTGTTTCCCCAATTATTTGCCCTGAATTCCCAAAGCAGTCTGCCACTCGCGCTTCCCAGTCTTCTCAACTGTCATTAGTATGTTTTGCATGGAGTAACGGGCTTTTACCTCTTTCCCCTCCCTTCTCCCCGTTTCTATTTGAAGAAATTGAAAGGCTCTTGCAATGCAAGTTGAGAGACTTACTTCTCTTGTGGGACGTCTTTATTTGACATGCTGTTGAAAGCATACTGGGTATTTTTACATTTCAGAGTACTGCAACTAACCCAACAGAACAGTAAATGCTTTAGCAAAGGGTGGGGTGGTAGCTATTGCTGCATAGCACTCCTTCATAGCTGCACGCTGCGTGGCTTTGGATATATCGGCCACAATGAGGTGCAAGATAATGTTCTTCTAGCCTGAGTGCAATACCTTGTATAACTAACTATGCAGAGGCACTTTAAAAGCACTTGTGCCCTTTAGGGTATCCTGGGGGGGTGTCACTTCACTACTAGGTTGACCATCTGTGTGCTGGCATAGTCCGACTCATTTGTTTCCCCATTCTGCATGCTTTGTAGCTGGTTAAAATGGGAGAGTTTACTAGTTCTTACTCCAGTCTTGATTTTGAGCAACTGTAAAATGTGTCTTGTCCCCACTCCCAAAACAAACAAAGAAACAAAAGCCTGTGTCGGTCAGGTGAGCTAGTAGTAAATGTATTAGTCACCATGTGCAATAATTCCACAGTATTGGCTGTCTTTCAGTAGGTTAAGTCAGGGTGATGGCAGATCGCTGGTGCAGTTCCCAGCTGTTGGGTATCATAGGGCAGATAAAAATGTTGTTCCTGTGGTGATCATCTTAAAACACAAAGCTGAGTTTTATGAATGGGAAGAATCTGTGGGTTACTGTATTTAAATGTTAGTTTTAGGAAAGAATTTTAAAACTTGGCTTTGTTTCATTTGAAGCTCTAAGCAGTGAACAAAAATGTTTTTCAGTCAAGCATATTTTTTTCAAACTGAAACCTTTAAGTATGTATCTGCTTTTTCTCATTCTCTCCTGAGGGTGAGAGACTGAAAATAACTGTTTTGCTTCTAGGCTCCCGGAGAGATGAGACATGTTGTTTACAAATGATTTATGTTTCAAAGTAGTTGGTAGATATGTTTTTTTGGCTCATTTAGTTGCTGCTGTATTTCATAGAAAGCTGTCCTCTGTAAGCAATGACATGGATTTCATAGCTTCGAGTTCTTACTTGTTATCCTCTAGCCTGCCCCTTGAAAGATGGTTGTTCGTTAGGACAGATACCTGATGCGAAGTGAAGAGCTGGGAGAAGAAAAAAGCAGGAGGGCTGGCAGAGAATGGTTAGAGGCTGCGAGGAGCAGGGCAGGAGGAGCACAGAACGGTGCCATCAACTCTTGCACCGGGGTGGTGCATCGTACATGTAAGAAATGGGTTTTTTTTTTGCGGTTACCAGCTTGTTTGGTTCTCTGGCTTCAGAAGATGTGAAAAACTGCTTCTCATGTGCTTGTATCTCCCAATAGACTCAAATCTCATTATTGAGGAAAGTTCCTGCTCTAGTTGTGTGGTTCTTAAATGAACAACGGGAGCCAGGACTGGGGACTGGTTTTAAATCTTTATATTGCCTACAGAGAAAACCTATGGGAAGGGAAGAGTCTTTGGGCGAGAAGTCCAAAGATTTTTCCCTTTGTCTAATTAACTCCTACTCACGAGGCCTTGTCCGTTGCCACTGGTCATAGAGCTGTACATAGGGTACTCCTGGGACTGCATAGGAGAGCCACATAAATTGTCTGGTTTATTAATTGAGCAGGAAATGTTTTTTTTTTATACTATGCTTTGTTGTTATCATATGTTCTTCCCCTCCTATTCAGTGCAAAGTGTCAAAAATCAAAGATTGCGTGGTGTTCAGAGGGAAGGAGATCCTCTGAGGAACCAGCATATTGACGAGTGAAAATGTCCTACAGTAATGATTTTACAGATGGATGAGAAACTTCTGAGGCCCGTATATCATTACTGGTGAAATACATCTCAAAGAGCACAGTTTTATGTCTAAAAGGAAGTCAACTGATCTGATCAGGATAAAACAATTTCCTTTAAGTCTCATATGTGAGTAAATACTAGAAATGTATGGTTTCAGAGATACCAGATATTCCCTTAGGGACAATCTAAGGTGGTACGTGACTTCAGTATCTACAATCTGCATTAGAACAAAACCACACAATATTATGAAGAACTTCAGTAAAAAGATCAAATACACCTGAGTTATCTCCTTCAATAGCATTTATCCATTACGTGCATCCCTCATAGTAGTGTTGTGTTCTTGGTGGGTAGATCAGATTTGGTGGTTACACAAATAACCTTAGTCCTGTGCGCACAGTGAGTAGTTCCTATATGTTTTGTAGATCAGGCACCCTAAAAAAAAAAAATAACAAACCAAAAAAACCAAAACAAATCTTAGCTCAGGACACAAATCTAACCAGTGCCATCGTGTGATTGGTACCTCTTTTGTTTAATACAGCCAGCACCTAAGCCTCTTCCCCTCCTGTTGTTTTAGTGTCCTACCCATTTGGTCCCTGACTTTTAGCCAATTCATGGCTCTTTTTTTTTTTTTTTTATTCTTTCTGGGGAGGTGATAACTAGATGCAGCTGTATTTTATCTCAGGACAGGGCACAAAGCCCAAGTTATTTAGGCGTAAGCAGAAGATGATGTCCTTTTTTCTTTATGAATATAGGTAAGACATTTATGCCTTGCTTCTGTGCTATATTTGCTACCCTCATTTGTGAGATACTAAGAAGTGGCAGCAACCTACAAATGGTTTAAATCTTCTGAGTCTTTTCTGAAAAGGCATAACCAAGAAGTAGAAATGGAAACAGTATCTTTATCCCTAGATTTAAGTCTGATTCTTTTGAAAATGCACAACTAGCCTCCAGGTGAATTGGTTAGACAGCAGCAAATGCCAGCACTATGCAAATCGTACCTACTGCTCTCTTTCACTGTGCAGGACCCTACTAGTAGTTGCGTGATGGTTTTTTGTTTTTACAAGATCAGACTGGATTAAAAAATTGAATCCTAGCAAAACTTAACCGATATTAAACTCCCACCTATGCTGTATGTGTACAAACTTAGATACGCTGCTCCCTTCTAATTTTTGGTTAGTCGTTATATCGTTTCATCATGGCAGATGATGCAACTAGTAGCTATTTGTACCACCTTTACCTTCCATCTTGATTTCGATATGCCGACTACCTAGGCGTGAAGCCCTCAGGGCTTGGGGAAACTCCAGATAGTATAGAGTGTGGCAGTATGTCTCCTCAGTTTATTCTATCTCAAGCTTGTCCTCTGTTCTATGCAGTGGCTTACCATCGATTGTCAGACTAAGCTTGGATCCCAAGCTGTTGTTGAAATGTGTGGGGTTGTCCAAGCAGAAGGAGGAAAACCTCGAACCATCCAACAGAAGCACTCTGCCAAGGGGCAGAACAGAAGTGCTACAGCAGCACAAAGGTTCTATAGCCAAACTTCGTCACGTAACGTTGGGTGTTACGGCTTTGCCGTAAAATACCGTGAAATGAGAGGTAAAATGCCGTGAAATTAGAGGGTTGGTGAGAGGCTCTTCTAAGGGAGCATCTTTCTTCCAGCAGGCTTTTGCATGAGGACAGATAAGGCTAAGAAAGACCACATGTACCCTGATGTTGAGTTTCCTTGTGCTGTTTCTTCCACTCTCTTCAGGGTTTTTTGTTACTGCATCTTACAGGGGAAGGTGGCAAAGCTTTGAACATTGTGTTTTGTTTGTATCTAAGCAAATTGGTTAACCTATTAAAGGTAGCCAAGAGGCTTCAGAAAATGTTAATGCTTCTTTAAAAAATAAATAGGAGCTATGTAATTCAAAGACCAACACTTCGTGTGGATAGAAAATTGAAAGAAAATTATTCTAAATCTTACTTTCTATTTTACATTAATAAAATTGCAATAGAGTACAAGTGTATCTTTTATACTGCATATTTTATAATATTTTAATGACTATGACAGTTATGTATATAAATCTTTTGTATAGATACTTTATTTCTAAG